TTTTTGAAAATGGTCCCATACTACCATATTGCCTCGTTGGAGATGAAGCATTCCCTTTGAAAGAATATTTGTTGCGACCATATCCAGGAAGGGGCGGATTAAATAAAGAAAAAAATATATTTAACTACCGATTGAGCCGTGCCAGGCGGCGCGCACTATTGAAAATACATGTGGTATTCTTGCCTCTCAGTGGCGAATATTAAGAAAACCAATAATCAGTAAAGTCGAAACTGCAGAAAAAATTGTACAAGCCATTGTGTGCTTGCATAATTGGTTAAGAAAGCAAGACATAAACACTAATGAAAATATATCTGTAAGTATAATTGATCATGTAGATCATAATGATTTTTGTACTGCCTATCGTGAAATTCGTCGTACAGGATCATATATGAGTACTATAAATCAAGTATAGAAATAAGGGAAAAATTTTGTACATACTTTAATAATGAAGAATCTGTACCTTGGCAAAATGATTATATCTAAATATGTTTTTCAAAATACAGAAAATATGTAGCCTCGCATATATTCTTTATATATCTAGATATATTCACTATTGTTTATAAGTTTTTAAACCATAACATGAAAGCATGTTGCAAAACTGGGTCAGAAAATAAAGGAAGAAATCGTCGACACTCAGGACACGGTTCGTTATGGGTTTCGCCATCCAGGCGATCGTATTCACGACCGTGGGTTTCGTACATCCAGGCTGGTATGAGTACGAGGTCAGATCCCTACAAAACATTAGAAATAGCATATATATCTCACAAGTTGTATATTGTTCTAAAATACTTAAAATATTCTTTTACGTTTCAAAATATATACTTTAATTTATTAGTCTATATATAGAAAAGAAATTCATATAAAATTTAGTTATTTTGATTAAATAGAATTTATTTTATATAAAAAAATTACTTTTTTGTATATATACTTACGTCATCATTTTCATTTTCTTTATTCGAATCTTGCATCTTTAATAATAATTTAATTTATTAATTTTTCTTTTTTATGTCACTGGATGATGACTACGTATCTTCAACGTTTCCTTTCAGGTTATGTAATTTCTTAGGTTATGTGTTTTAAGTATGTACATAAAAAGTATGTATGTATGTATACATAAACGCGTGGCAGAAGTTGACAAATTTGATTGGCTACCGCGGGCACAGATTAAATCTGTGCTAGTATCCTTATAGCATATTATAGTTCACTGGCAGCCGTGGTGCGCGTGCAGTGCGTGCACGGCGTGCAAGTGCAACGTGGTTCGTTAAATGGAAACGTAGCCTAGCATCTAGCATGGTCGAGTAGGTAATGCACGAGACGAAGACGAAGTATACATAAGTATACATATACATCCGACAACTTGGCCACCTAAGCAATCACGTGAATCACGCAACAAAATTCATTGCCCACCTCTACGATCGCGAGGATGGTCCCGTCCCGCGCGAGAGAGATGATGATGAAATGCGGTTGGACGGAAGGTATGGTGCGATTCTTTTCGGCCCGAACTTTGCGGCGCATTATCCCTTCCCCACATGGCGGATGGACGATACGTAACTCCCGAATGTTTTGTTCGTCTCGTCGCTGCATTCTCGATCACCGCTCCCGTTCCCTTTTTTTTTATATCCTTGATTATTCACAAGAGTTTTTAAATATTTTCTTAATTATTCATCTGGCTATCCGTGACGCACGGTAACGAGATGCAGAAACGAATTTAAAGATTTGCCTGTTAACTGTTTTCTTTCCGTAATACAGGAAAAGGACTCGGTAAGGATGAATGCGGCATAACGGAACCTGTAAAACTCGCGACAACTCAGAATAAAGCGGGTATAGGATACAGCGAGAACAATCCCTGGTGGGAAAAGATGTTTGACGACGCCATCAAAAATGTTAAGGTCACGTCGCACGGTGACGAGGTTTCTTTGTCTGTTGTCAGTGATACGGACGCTTCGCGCCTTGGAGGCGAATGCATGATCAGTGGGAGAAAATTTACACCTAGACGTTACACTAAGAACTGGAATGACTGGAAAACATTTGTAAAGTCAGAGGTCTCATTCGATGACCAAAAGCTTACGCTTACAAACCCGTATAGCTGTGATACATTTACAAGGCCTATATTAATGAGGAAACCTCCTCTCGATCAGACAACTTCAATATGTTTCGGCGAAATGATGGACGAAACAACGGGACACAATCTTACGTCATCAGGTGGAAAATTGGAAAGGATCGCGGAGCAGGATAGAATACTTTTAAATAAGTCTCTATCAGATACAACTCTGACCAGGGAGAACGACACGAGCTATAGGAAGACGAATGTAGAATCAGACGTGGAGGAGAAGGAGCATGAAATAGATAGCATTGAAAGCATATTGCAATTTGATGGAAATTGGATGTCCTGCAAGTCCAGAACCAGAAAGAAGAAAGATAAAAAAAGAATACATATGCTAGTGACACGACTAGGCGCTTGTAATTTAGAGAAAGAAAGGCATGACTTTCCGAAGATTAGGACGCTTTGCCAAAAGATGAAGAAAAACAAAGAGAAAAAAGTAGATAAAAGCACGCTGTTGACTTGTTTAGCGACGGATACATCAGGCCAGGTAACAATGTCTCAAAGTCCAGAAGTCCACGGTAATAAATCTCGGGTATCAAATTCATTTAAAGAGAGAAGGTCTAGAATGAATACATTAATTAATATATTACAAAGCGGAAAAAGTGTAAATGAGAAGGACAGCGTTGGGCATAAAATAGAATTAAGTCCGGAATTGACAAATAGTATCGAGGGAAACAAAGTGACAGATAAGCGATGTAAAGACTGCATAATCGATTTAGATGCAGAGAAGCAAGATTATGATCGATATTCGATGCGAAATTTAAGATGGGACGCTTTAAAACTAGATATTCCTGAAAACCATCCCGTTTTAAAACTCGGTGTGGTAGGTGAATTGCCAGGACTCCGTAAAGAGCTCCTTTATGCCGCAAAGGAATGCGGCATAACGGAACCTGTAAAACTCGCGACAGCTCAGAATAAAGAGGGTATAGGATACAGCGAGACCAATCCCTGGCGGGAAAAGATGTTTGACGATGCCATCAAAAATGTTAGGGTCACGTCGCGCGGTGACGAGGTTTCTTTGTCTCTTGTCAGTGATACTTGTTCACCTAGAATTTACAGAACTGAAGAATTTGAGAACTGGAAACATCCAGACCGGGAAGACCGTTTGAAATGCCAACTCATTAATAACCATAAATTAAAGAAAGAAAGTAAGAGACGGTGTAAGAAACAGTTGGGGGAAATTATCGCCTCAGTAGTAAGGCGTGGACGTTTCAACCATCAGGTAAATTCTGTAATAAATGATTTAACGTCATTCAGTCTTACCGAAGAGGTAAAGGCAGATACCATTAAAAAAAAACCTACTCAAACTCACCGCACATCTGTTTAGAAATAAAAAAAGGTAAACCAAAAATAAAATAAAATAATACTCGAATAATTAAGTAACTTTTTGTATGTATACTTTTGCTTTTATAATTTCAAGATATTTTTAACATATAAATTGCAAAAATGATGTGTAGAAATAACTTGACTGCCTTAAAAGAATGTCTAATAATAGTCTGTAAATTATACATAACTGATAAAAAATATGGATATGACTATTTAGCACTTATTCATTGAATTATTCGCTCGTTAATCATGCAATTCTAACAAAAATTGATCTGATTTTTATTTTTATAGTACATTCCGTGCTCCATTTTTAATCTTTTATTTTATATACATATAATACTGCAATGCTAGGTGTATATACAAATTTTTTTCTACTATAGGAATTTATTAAATTGCATTAATCATTATTTTCGATAATATTTTAGATGTGTATTTAGTTATACAAGTTTATAATTTATGTAAATTGTCTTATAATTCATGAAAAATAAATGTTAGCGGATCTGCGATTGCCTCTTCAATAATGGACAATATTTCATAAATATCATGTATAGTTAATATTAATTATAATTTCAACGTAAATAATGCTCTATCTTTATCATGATATTTGTAATGGTTACATTCTGCAAATTCATGTATTTCATTCTGATCTAAAAAAATTAATATTAATTTTAAAATGTCTTGAACGGCCAAAATTTTGAAACGTCAAACAAAATCGGTAGTAACAGTTACAAGTTGAAGTTAGATTGAAACATTTCGTTGCACAATTACAATTCACACATTAAATCGATATAAAAGTGTATTCGCGATGGTATGTACATACATCGTACTTGATTGTAAATGTCAGTCGTAAAAAAAATGCATGTAAAACTCGGAAGTTTATATTATTAAGATTAGCGTTGTAAGCAAAGTTCCTATGTACGTAAAACGAATGCGCGTGCGTAAAACTCATTTGATATATGTATTTTTAATAAATAATATTTGCATCAAAGTTCTTTTTGTTTTTTATTCGAAATGCAACATAACAATATTTACATTCATCTTATGCAGCAATCCCTGTTGTTACATTTAGTCAAACGTACGAATCGATGTCCTTTTTTAAAAGCGTTAGAAACGCAGAGATTGATACTAAACAGCGTATTGATACTATAATATGATATAAAATGATTTATCTAACTTATGTTTCATATACGACCGTCGAAATTGATGTATCCATGTATCTCCAAAAGGGAAAGAGGTGTATCTTTCGGCTGATTTTTATGTTTCACGTGAAGAGTGACGGAAGTTGTAAAATGATAGTATATTGTATTACATTTGTGTAATGTATTTTTCGCAAATATATATCAATAATTATATTACAGCTCGCCAACACTCGCGTTCAGATGTCGCATAGCACCGAATATTACAATGGCTTAGCAGAGACTAATGGTAAAAAAATTCAGCGTCACAGATCTATTGTTATAAAATGAAATAAATTTTCTAAGGCCACTAGGGTATTCCATAGAATCATTTCAAACATTTTCACCCTAAGTTACGAACATCTCGTCGTCATGGATCATGGAATGCAATCTTGAAGCATACAACAGTGATTTTACTACCCCCGCAAACTTCTTCGCCATTTCAATTTCTTAATCATCCTGATGCAACATTAAACGATATACGCGGTGTATTACAAATTTCAAATTATACTTAAACTAAATTATAACAAGTTCCTACCCGAATTCGGATCAGAGATTCTAGCAAGTGTTAGGCTATATCGTCAAGCACTTAACAGCTATCTTAATGGTCTATCACTATCTTTTTATAGTATAATATATTTTTTTCTAATATCGCAGTGCGGCTTCATTAAACAAATTTTCAATCAATAAATAAATTTTATCATGGATTGCAAACTATACTGCGATCTAACATTTACGAATATTAAATTTTTTTTTAATTGGAACAAAAGCTTTGCCGCGCTACAATATCATTTGATGTTCGTTTATTTCGTTTTCGATAAACGCTCCGTTATATAATTGTTGGAATTGATTAAAACCAGTGTAATTTGTATACATATATCTGGAACTTGCTTTTGAAGAAAAATCAAATCCACAAGCTGTAATAAAAGTATATAAATATGCACATAAATATATAAAATTCATACGCAATTCCCGTGTTTTGCGGAAATAATATTAAAAAGCACACGCATACAAAATAGTTCAATTCGAATATACCAAAGTTGAATAAATGTTTTAGAGAAAAATTTGTTTTTATCTCTGCAAAATGCACATTTATATTCATATAATTTTATTAATGTAAAAATGTGTGGACTAAAAAACACGGAGACTCTTTTGTATCTTGAACATTGTTTCTTAAAGACACATAAAGAAAATATTTAATTATAAAATGTATTTTGAATAAACGTCATTCTTAACAAAGTCTTCCTGGGGAAATCTACACGAATGCAATGAATGCAATGACGCTCGGTTTTTGCAAAATTAACAAGTAAAAACAACATATCTTAATTTTAAAGTATGATTATATTCTTTTAATTATCTAAAGCAAAAATGTAAAACGAATCATAATGAAATATAATTAACACAATACTTTTACGTTATAAAACTTTTTATTAATATTAATTGGAATACCAATAAATTTAAAAGATCAACTTTATTTAAAAATACGAATGAGAGATGGAATCCTCAAATCAAGTCATGAGCACAAGTCATTATTTTGTTGTTTAAATAGAAAATAAATATTTACATTCTTATATTACTAAATTGAGGAAGCAATTTTTTCATACCTAATTTGTATATTATAGAAAAACATAAGGCTATTTAAGAGTTTCTGAAATATGTAGATAATATTATATAATGCTATTACATTCCTAAATAATTTCGCATAAGTACGTGGAAGCAACAGCATTATTTGTATTATTAAAATAAAGGAAGCTTTGTTTCCCTGTGACTTTCGGCTATAGATATTTGAACAAGGTATTCAACTGTCAATTTTTGTAGATCATAACAAAATCATGTTTTTGGGAAATTGTTTACGTTTACGTTACATAGATAAATGTACGATTTAAATGTCATTAGGAAGTGACAATCAAAAAGTCTAACACTCGAAAAAAACTGTTCATGACACAGTAATATTCTTCTTCCTCGTAGATCGTATCGCGAGAGGTCCTAGATTCGAATTCCTCCTAGACTCGAGCCTCCAAAAATGTTACGCCCGTATGTGAGACTCGCACGTGTTTTCGCACTCGCGTCACCTCTTTTAGCAGTGAAAACTGACAGCTTCGGAGAACAAATTTATTCGCAGCTGAATTACAAATCTCACGTAAAGTAATGAGAACATCTGTACGACTTGACGGCTTATGGGCTCTATTCTTGCGTACTCACTCACAATATTACATATGTATCGAATGGTTGAAATACGTATATGCTTCCGAAATGATATTCTTGAACATTCTTTTACGGTATTCGCATTAAGAAACGTATACGCTTTTCAATTATGTATTGAATGATATACTTGGCAACGTCGGAAAAATATATAATCTTTTTTATAAATATTGGACAAATATATACAGCGCATAGAGGGCAATCGTGTAGTCCTGTATGATTCCACTTGCAAAAAACGTAATGCTATCATAACCTATGTACAAATAAGCTTTTATTTAATATTTATTTCATTATTATATTATTTTATTACACTTGCTTTAATTATGGAATCTATCGCTGATATTCTTATTTAAAAAACTAAATATAATTCAACAATTTGTATTAAATTTCTTGCTTTGGTTTTATTTAAATGATATAATTAAATAAAATATATTTCTATCAGCTCAAAAGAAGTCTGGTCTCGTATGAAATTTTTTTTTTTAATTATTAGAGCTTGTATTACAATTTATTAAAACTGATATTTAATTTTAATATGGCGTTGCGCTTTGTTTTAAGAACTTTTGTTTTTTATTACACTCATTAAATACGTATACGTTTCTTTAAAAACATATTACATAACATTTGAAACATTATAAAGAAAAAAATGCGTATACGCTTCATTGCAATTGTCACGGAGATTATTACCGTTCTAGGGAATTTTTAAATGCGATTATTCGCAATTGGCCATTGGCGCAAATATTTCAAGAATAAAGCGGGGAGCACAGACTTTTGCATAATGCATAACGCGTAAGCATAAGACAATTGATTAGTCCATATACATGTGCATGAGGAAATGGACCAATCAATTTTCTTATGTTTGTATATTATGCGTTATGCAAAAGTCTGTGTTTCTCCCTAAAAGTCTCAGAGGCCCTATTCTTGAAAAATATCGCATACAATATGTCATAAATATCACACTCTGCAACCAATAGCACACTTGCAAAGTGTGATTTTCTAGTGACATTCCTAAAATATCGTATGCGATATTTTTCGAGAATAGGACCCTTGGCACGAAATCTTTAGAGCGTTCGTTTACAGACAACGGTTTATCATCAAGAGAACACTTCGTTTTTTTCCACTAACAGTTCGATTCGGCTCAAACCTAAAAGCGCGGGCGTAACACTGTTTCAGATCTTGCCATTTTCATGTCTTTCTCTTCATATTTTACATAAAGAGGCGAAAAAGATAATGTAAAATATGTAAAAGGTCTAATTGACAGCGTATCCTTAAATACTACTTTGGTTTAAATAGAAAAATATACAAAACCTCCAGTGTCATTTGTCACGATCGCTCCACGTATAGTACCAATTGCACCGATGTCGGTTAACGTCAATATATATACTAATCAATTAAACTTTCTGTTTCCATTTATACTACACGCGAAATCATAATTCGTAAGACAGTGAACCGTTAACCGATGGACGACGGTTAGACAATCAGTGCAAATTGGCTGTAGTCTTACTTGTGTGAAACTTAAAGGACTTAATATTAATTGTGACTTAATATTAAACTAATAGAAATTGGACACAGCCTGACAGAATCGAAGATTTGCGAAAATTAACTGATCTTATCACTTCGAAATCTGAATTACATCTTTTATGATGAAATCCATAAGCTGCATAAGTATAAATATATAAAGCTGCATAATAATAGGAAGCAATCGACAATATTTCGATGTTTGCAAAGAGATTCGTAAATAAATAATTAGTTTCATAAGGAATCGAAGAAAACTTCCTTAAAGCTCTGAAAAATTGCGAGATTCATAGCTTTCTCTTATCACCATTCCTCTCTCTCATCTATTTGATTCCACTCGCGTTCAGCAGGAAGCTCGATAAAAAATTAGTCTTATAATGTATAGAATCAATATTATCAGAAGTATATTTAAACGCACTTGTTTATAGTTTTTCTTTTAAAGACGTAATAGCCGGCATTTCTCCCACTTCTGCTCAGAACGATTGGTTTTCTATCGGTACGAGTACGATTGCTGCATGGAATGCTTGTATCATTCACTTTTACCCAAATCACATACATATTGGACGCGTTAACCTTATGCGTGGTAATAGCGTTCCTAAGCACACAGGGATCTATTTTGCGAGGTATATAACTGAATCCAGGATGGTTGACGGGTCGGACTTTCGCGCGTCTCGCGCATAAACCCGTGACGTATACGTCCTCCAAGTGTAGCAACGGTGTTACCAATGCTGCTTGATATAACTTAGACGCAATACCCGTACTCATAACATATCCTGTGCCTGATAAATAGTTTGGATATGTTTTCTCCGAGTACATATACTTGGGTGTATACCTACGTAATTAAAATCGTTGCTTGTGTTAAATTATTTTTCCATAACGTCCTGCTAAATAATAGTGACGAAAGGATATACTTGCCACTTGTTTTTGGGATCCACTATCGGTTTAGCGTTACAAATGAGAGAACCTAGGAGAATCTCCGCTTGCGTTCTCGAGCGCAGCGTTTGCAGAAGCAAGGGAATATTTACGAACATGTCGTCGTCCGTTTTCATGAGGTATTTAGCTTGATAGCAATTCGACGTCACCCATTTCAGCATCATGACCGACTTCAGCGTCAAATTGTTATATGTATCAAAGAAACGTTCTTGCACAATATCATTGTACTGAGAACTTTCCTCAACAATCAAATTCTAAAAAGAAGCGCAATAAATTAACATACTGTAAGAGTAATTCTCTATACAGGAATAAAATTGTAAAGAATACTTACGTTGAGTGTATCATTGTCACTTTTTCCTAGTAAAAATGCTATTTTTACTGTAGAATTGTACAAATTGTCTAAATTATATTTATTGGCCCAAGTATTCCTAATAGCAGCGCGGGCCTCCTGATTTGCGACTGCCGAGCATATAATTATTAGCAGGTATGGCGGTAGTGAACAGATGCCAGTAGGACTGAGAATCGATGTATTATTCTCCGGGTGAATATAAACACAGAGATCTCTTGATGTGTTATATGACCATCCAGGCAATTGTGCTGTAAATTAATTATTTGCGTCAGTTTCTTTTAGACCATGTAAAATGTGTTACTTTTTTAATATTATTGTATCATTAAAAAACACTGTTTTATATCATATTATACTAAATCGTAATTATATATCAAATATATGTCCAAGGATGTTGCAATCAGATTATAAAGTATTTTAAAATATACTTTTTATTATACTCTATTTAATATACATTTATATACTTATATATTCTTAAAGTTTATCAAAATTGTGTTATCGTGACTAAAGGATGTTAAACAATAGATGCGTACCCACGGATGCCATCAAACGGGAGTTGCCAAGAGGTTCTGCAGAGGATGGAGTGTCACTTAAGCTTGAGAATGGACTCTGAGCGGAGTGATACGCTGGCACATATAAAAGGCCTAAAATGGCTGATAGAATCACAAATCCTATTGCCAATCGCCGAACAAAAGATGCCTTGCCTTTAACACTGCCATTGTTGTTGACAGTGATCGCAGGTAAATCCACGGGCAGTAATCGTGATCTGTCCATCTATATGGAAAAAGAACAAACACTTATATTAATTTTCAAGAACTAACAAATATTATTAGCAAATTAACTACAAATTGAAATATATGGAAAATATATGGAACAGTCTAAACAACTGAAAATAATCTAAATACGCGAACAAAAACCTTTCTGTATGCAAGGTACATTTGGTTACAATAGCACGTATACTAATAAGAGAATGTCATCAGTTTTAAAACACTGTATTTGCAACGATTACGATTTACCTTGAGTTTTAATGTGTCCCTCAACATTCGACCGC